CTGAGATAGCGAACGTGGTTCATTGTGGTCTAGTTTTGTTACAAATATTTTTTGCTCATCATGCCTCATATGGTGTAGTTTGTACCAAAGCTAGAAAAAAAGTGTGTCATCTCTTTTGATAAAGCTCATTTTTATGAAAAGTTTTATTAAAATATTTATTAGAATATTGCAGCAAACAGAAATTGAAAAAAGTACAATGTTAGACTAAATACCGATACGTTTTTTAATCGTTTTTTTTAATGCCTAAAATTATACGAAAATCCCCTCAAGCTCAGGGATTATGGCAGGGAATATTTACCTCGCCGCTCGAAGAATCGCGGCTCGGGAACTGATATTCACACTGATATTCACCTATTTTTACTAGGGAATCCTGACAATCCTCTTACAATAGGCAAACATTAACAGATTTTTACCAATTTTTACACTGTGCGTGTATCGGGGTGCATGCACGTAGCATATAGAACTCTGCTTTCAAGATTTAGCAGAGTCTTTGGGGTATTTTTGAACGAGAAAATTGTCCTTGGCTTTGTTAGCCCCTAATGAAAATATAATACGATAATCACCTCGCCTTCGGCGTGAATGATTTGTTAAATAATTTATTTCTATTAATTGGTTTCTTCAATAAATAATATCAGTCCAAGAGCAAGGTGTGTTGTCGTAAAACAGGAGCGAACTATTTAACAATTAGACTACGAGGTCAGTCGAGTTCTCTATGAGTCAATAGATAGTCGATGAGGGGCGTAGCGCCGAATCGGGCTATTTGACTCATAGAATTCGAGAACGAGTAGTCTAATTGTTTTAGCATAAACCTACTAGCTAATATTATAGTATTGAAAAGAAATAAAAATAACGCTGAAAACTTTTTAAAGCGACGGTCAACCGGCAGCACTGTTTTACTCCGACTCGAAGTATCAACGTAAAGCTTAAACTTGCTCTATTTTTATAGCTTTTTGTCTCTATTATTACTGTCAAAACTCTCTTTCTCTCTGTTTTTTATCTTATCAGTTCTT